CACATCCCCCATCTCCGTCAAGGCCACAGTGAGAGCTGGGGGGAGGCAGCTTGGGGTGACTGGGTGACACGGATGACACCACAGTCCTGGGTTTGGCCCTGGCTGCAGGACTCTGCTCCAGGCACTGATGCTCCAGGGCTTGCTGAGCCACAGCAGCAAGGGCCCCCCCACCCCCAGCTCAGGCTGCAGACGTGGCAGGGTTTGGGCATCACGGTGTGGCACAGCTCCCGGCTTTCCCTGCCTTCTGCTGCCTGCCCACGCACTGCGCTGAGACAGCTCCCCTGGGACTTGACAGCAGCAAACATGGGCACGTGGGAGACAGTGAAGCATGGACCTCATGGTTCCGAGGAAGGACCCGGGAAGGGAGCCCGGTGTGCAACAGCTCCATGCCACAGGGATGCTCTACCAGCCCCCAAGTACAGCATCCACAGGATGCTCTGTAGGGGTCTGGGGCAGAGCCAGCAGCAAGGAAAAACTGGCGGGGGGGGCACGGCATGAAGGGAGCGTATGCCAAGGAACAACCCAGGCAGGTCAAAAGCAAGGCCAAATCCACCCAAAGGAGCCCATCCACTGCTCTTGCCGAGTTTTAGCTTAGGTTCCTCAGTGCACGGGCATAAGCGTAAGAAGCCTTTCCGCGCTTGTAGAGGCAGCAAGTAACACCAGTGTTGGGAAAGCCGGGCGAGCAGTCCCAGGGCTGGCACTTGGACACAGACCTCGGTGCAGCTGGACACAAAGCAACACCTGGGCACTGCCTCGGAGCAAAGCTGGCTCCAAAACCTCCCTGCTGCTGAGACAGCACCCGCCAGGGTGGCTGCACCTGCCCAGGTCACAAACAGGCCAAGGGAGTTTCCGAAACCAGTGGTAACCTGCAATCCCGGGTGGAGCCGCAGGACTACCCTGTTCCTCCTCTGAAACCTCCGTGAACGCCCATGGCTCCACGCAGCACTGCACACTGACCTCAAAGCCTGTCCCGTCACCACCGCCGCCCCCCGCCCCGAGCACTGTCCAGGGGCACGCAGTCCCTCTCTTTGCAGCCATCACATTAACACAAGAGCAGTCAACTTACGGCTGGGCCCATGGATCTTGATGGGTTTGGTGCTGATGAGAGAGTGGGAGCAGTTTTGGCAAACACAGTCCTTCCCACTGAACGTGACCTTGTCTCCGATGGGGAACGGCTTCCTGTGGCCAAGCAGAGGTGGGGAGATGTGAGCTGCTCGCTCCCCTCCATGCAGTGCTTGGGGCTGCCCCCGAGCTCCTTCCCCAGGGGCCAGTGGGACCTGCGGTGCTGGGGAGCAGCGGGGCTCCAGGCAAGGAGGGCTACAAGGGGAGGCAGCAAGCGTACACGTGTGCTGGGGCAGAAGGACCGAGGCAGGCATTAAGGCAGGTCTCCAGGCTGCAAAGGGAAGGGTCGGAGCCATTTCCTTGCCTCCCCAAGGGCTTCCTCTAAGAAAATGCAGAGGAGGTGCCTGCTGTGGTGCTGAGCAGGGAACGAGGGGCTGCGGGCTAGCAAACGGTCCTCTCCCTGGTGCACAGCCAAGGGCCGCACAGAGCTTCTGCAGGGGGTCGTGCACCCTCAGTGATGGCTTCAGCTCACCTGCAGGTGCTGCAGACGAAGCACTTGGGGTGGTAGGTCCTCCCCAGGGCAGAGATGACCTCTCCAGTGATGAAGTCCCCACAGCTGTCACAGCGGGTCCCATAGAGCTGCTGGTAGTCGTGGGTGCAGATGTACTCCTGGTTCTTAAAGAAGAAGCCCGACTGGGCCAGGTCACAGCCGCACACTGCAGGGGGAGGACACGCACCCATCAAGGGCCAGCAGGCAGGTCCAGCCCCGGGGCTCGGCCGGGATCTCTGAGCCCACCTCTGCTGCCTCCCCAGCAGTGGTTGAGGGCATCCCTGAAGACACTGCTTCCTGCAGCTATCTCAGAGGGTTTCCCTTCCCACCAGACAGGCTGGGGCCTTCCCCAGCACCACAAGATGTCAGTGTTGGGCTGTGGCAGGGTGCAGGATGGTGCTGCCCAAACAGCCAGGGCTGGGCGCTCCCAGAGGAAACCCCAGTGCCGGGAAGGGAACCCCCACTCACCACACACGAACAGCCTAGGAAGGCCCGTAGCATCCCTTTCTGGACCCACAGCACCTGGACACTCTCATGGTGTCAGGAAGCTGAGAACAGGACTGGCAAGGAGTTGGGTATACCCTAGGGGCAACTGGGGAGAGGTCTTCTCCACACCCTGGGGCATGGCCTTCTCCATGATGAGCCATCTCCAATCCCTGACCTGGACGTGAAGCCATGCCTGAATAGGAACAGGTCCTGGGACACAGGGGCTTGGTGCTCTCACTGCTGCTTTTTCCATAGGTGTCCAGCCCAACCTCACTTCCTTCCCTGCTGTGGGAACCGTGGGTGGTGCACAGCCCATGAGAGTAATCTAAGGAGACATGGCAAGCCATGTCATTTCCCTCCTACGTCTTCTCCATCCACAGAGAGACCTCGAGAGCATCAGACCCTGGAAGGCACCTCAGGAGTGGCACAGGGACCAGGTCCTGGCACCTCTGCGTGATGCCCATCACCAGTCCTGCAAGGTGACGGGGTGGAGGGGGGAACTACAGGGCAACTGAGCACCCGCTGGCACAGCGGGTCCTGTCCTTGCACACCTCACCTGCACCAGCAGGCCAGCCCGCACAGCGGCCACCCTGCCCAGGGCACAGCTGGAGCCGCTGGCTGCAGGGCCCACAGGGGCAGGGATGCAGCTCCTCTCCTGCAGAGCATCCCCGGGAGCTGTGGGCAGACAGCCGGGGGTACAGGGCCAGCACCCACTGCTCTCCGAAACAATCTGCCAGCTCTTACTTGTCAGCGACGGGGGACAGGCCACCAGCTCTGGGACAGCATCAGGAAGCAGAAGCAAGAAAAAATAAGGCAGGTCTGGGGCTTCTTTGCTGTGGGACCCATAGCACATCCCCAGGGGCTGCAA